CCAGCTGTTCTAAAACAGCTGGCAGTTCCTTCTAGATGCTGCAGCAGGAGGAGACCTCATGTGCTCCTCCCCCCCCAGTCAGGGCCTGGGGGCAGGAGAGCATGAAGTCTCTCACCTTGCCAGGGGCACGCAATGGCTATAGAGAAACTTTTTTAAACTGCTGGCATTTCTCTCTAGCCACCGCGTGGCCTTAGCGGTGGGGGGAGGAGACTTCGGTCTCGATTGGCCTGGGGGCAGGGGAGTGACAGGGTGGCTGTAGGCTGGATCCAGCTCGCAGAGGCTTATTTGTCCACCCCTGCTCTAGATGTAACTTCAAAGAGGCTAACTAGCTGTTGCCAAGGCTGTTCTGGACAGAACCATGAGATGCTTGTAGTTAAGGATAAGCTATTTCTCCAGTTTGACTTCTCAACAAAAGGAAGTTCCAAAAAGCTGGCAGGGAAGTGCACACAAGCAGCAGTGTTAAATGACAGTCACTTATAATTACTGCCACTAGCCTGTAAGACTCTCCTCCATTTCTCTGTCTGCTCAGGCAGTGTTTCTGAATTGCTTCTGATGCTGACAGACTTTCAGGGCAATAGTTTTAGTCTCTACTTTACAGCTAGGTGTGAGATAAATCTGGCTTCATGTTACCACCTGATCAATGCTGTTAGCTAGAAGTCTTAATCCTTGATTCAGTGTTTGTTTGTAGACATGGTTTTTGAAAGGAATGGGGCATTTTAATAGCTTTGCTTGCTTCTCTTCTCTGTCGCTACATTAAATCTCAAGAAACTTGCATAAACTGCCTCTGTTGCAGCATGTTCTTAAAGTGTAACTCCCCAATTCTAACACAACAAGTACGTTAGCCCTTGTCTCTGCCAAGATAATGTTCAGAGCCCAAGAGCAGTTCAGTGGCAAGACAGATGCTCAGATTGTGTAGTATCAAAGCAGGTGTATTCTTTTCCTCTTGTTGCATGATTGTACAATTGTATATATCTAACTCCAGTGCTATACATTTGGGCAAAGAGGAGTAACACTGTTACTTTTTGTTTTATTACTCTTTGTTTTCTTTTTGTGGCACTCTGTTGCTTTTTTTTTTTTAAAAGCAACTCAGTGAGCTGCCACCACAGCAGAAACCCAGGCACAGAATAGACCCAGATGCAATTCCTAGCCCAGTAAGTGCAGTGTCTGTCTGTTGTCTGTGTGATAGTGAGCACCTGTGCATGCTTGTGGCATAAACCTCACCTGACTAACCCTCCAGTTTTAATCCTTTAGCCTTCTTTCCCACCCCTTTCTGCTTACCCCATCAAAATGAATACAATAAACTCCACACAGACTGGTTATTTCATCATGTCCTATGTCATGACATAAGGGGCAATAGAAAGTGGGCAGCACTTTGGAAGCAGATTATGAAGAATGTTTCCCCTCAACATCGTCTAGTCTTAAAAGCAAATTATCTACCTACATCAGGTTCCAGTTGGAACATCTATCACGTGACAAATGTAGTCTGAGTAGTTACATGTGTACACAGTTACATGTACACAGTTTGTTCCTTAGTGGAAGTCTTTTCCAATCTGTGTAAGCTGGATTTTGTTACTGTTCATTCTTGAGCTGCCAGTACAGAGCCAGCATTTGATGCCATTATCTCATGTTTGAAGTAACCATTTTGTTTTGATATGAATTCCTCATTGGAATCTCTGAGCAGACTCCCTCTAAAGTTTGGGGAGCTACAAACATTCTCTCATTATCTGTGATTCTGTATCACTGTTAAAAATTAAAACGTTAAATTTCTAAATCAGAAATGTGCTTTGAGAATCTTTTAAATGAAAAGTATCTACCTTTGGACTGGAAGAAAATGGTGGATTAGATTTTCTATTACCCCATATCATTTCTGCCTCATTGGTGATTGGCTCAAGTTGGTCACATGACTCCTATCTAATCAGTGATGACACCAACTTCAGTTAATCTGTAGAGTTTTGACAAGAGACATTTCCTGGAACTGTTGGTTTGATTCTGTGGCTGAGCATCCCACTGGTGTAGAACATAGACTGCAGAAGGCTCGCAAGAGCTCCTGCTGTAGAACACTGTGCATGGTAAAAGGGGTTGTAAACTGTGGGGATAGGTTATTCAGTGGGATCGGGGCCAGATCAGTTCTTAGACTGGATTTGGCATTGGTACTGACAGCAGTCAGAAGGGCCCAGTGCTTCCTATAATCTTCCATTCGATTGCAGAGTTCAGTGGCTATTCTGAATCCAAAAGTGCTGTTGAACTTCATAATGCATAATCCCTAATGAGATTTGTTCTTCAGCATGTTTATGGTGGTGACCAGTGGATTTCACACTGTTACCATCCTGTTGAGCTCAGCTTGGATGATCTGAAACAGTCTGAGTTGCAGACAGGCAGGCCTGCTTATGGGGCGGGGTGCGCGTAAAGGGGGCAATTGCTCGGCAGCCCAGTGATTCAGAAGGGCCTGGGACTCCTGGCCCTTTAAATGGCCCCTGGAGCACTGTCGCTGCAGTGCACTCGGGACAGCTTGGGGGGGATGGCGGGGAGGAACCCACGTTCGGGGGGGCACTGAGGGCTAGCTGCCCCAGTCCTGCCCCTTCCGTCCAAGGTCCTGCCCTTTCCAGGAGCGCAGAGCTGGCCCTTCCAGCTTGCCCAGGGGCCCAGCGAGGCTCTCGGTCCCCATAGCTCAAAGTATGAACTAGTGAGCAGTGTATAGAAGTGATCACATTCTTGAGTTCACATATTTTAGGTCAGAGTTTAGTCAGCTATACAGTGGAACAGCCTCACTTTCTGAACTGTACAGTTGCCAGTATTTTCACAAAGAAAAGGCTGACAAAAAAGGAAGTGCAAGCTGAAAGATGTTTGGAAGCTATAACAAAGCTGCCAGGGAGATGGGCTGCGACAGTAGTTGCAACAGAGTATATTGGGGAGCAGTAAACAGCTGAATGCTATTGCAAATTATTTTCTTGGGCCAAATTCTGCTTTTAAGTGAGTCCAGATCAGCTCTTAAAATGTAAAGCATGCCAGTCTTCAAAATAACTAAAAACAGAAAACTGGAAAGGGGGTTTAAATAGGTTGATCTCAACAAAAATCCCATCTTCAGTCTTATTCCCAATTCAGAGACAATAAGAACTGACGGCTTGGTAAAGTTTAAGTCTAGGCTTCTCAGTTCTTAGCACTGGTAATGTTTGTCCCAATCCCTGTCTGTCTGCTCTGTCGCTCCGGATTCTGTCTCCCCTCGCCCCTCCCTTCCCTTGTCTCCATGGAATGGAGCCTGCTGTGGTTAACATGCTGCTTTCTCTTCTAGATCCAAGTAATTGAAGATGACAGAAATAACCGTGGATCAGAGCCATTCATCACTGGAGTTAGAGGGCAGGTCCCACCCCTTGTTACAACCAATTTCCTGGTGAAAGATCAAGGTAAAATACTGTTTCCCTCCTTAAGTCCTCCCCAAAAAACAGCACGTGACCAAAGATCCAGTTACATATTATCCCTCAGAGGCAGCAGCGCGGGGTAGCGGGCGGTTTCCCGGGTGCCAGTCTGAACTGATAAGCATAAGCCTAACCGTTTAAAGGGTTACACTCTTCCATCTTGAATGCGAAGAGGAAGCAATACGATGAGAGAAATGTTCTTGCTGCAGTGGAATTGAGAGTACTTGGGATGCAGGCACAGCTGTACTTCACTCTGTGAAGTCGTATATAGGAGCTCCGACGTGAGGTTTCAGATCACTTCAGCCAGGAGGGGTTTGGAGATGTCACTAAGGCAGACACTTTCCAGGAGAGGTGCAACAGCAAGCACATTGCTAGCAGCTCAAAGGTGGGCCTGTCTTGGACAGGCTGAGGTTCAGGTGCCAAGGTGAAATCGGCTCCTTTACCCCAGGGTACACTCACCAGGCCTCTGAGAAAATGCATTACCATTTCATGTGAAAAAACCCACCTGTTGTTGCCTGTCACAAGCAGTAAGAAGGAACTGAAAGTCATTGGGGCCCTTGACGCCGCTGCTCTGAGCACATGGCACCAGAGCACTGGAGTTGACCTGATGGGTACTACAAAGGGAAAAAATTCCAGCAGCTGTGAGGGCATGCACACGCTGGCATTGCGATGGACACATGCAAGCACTTGACCTATTTATCATGGGTAAACATAATAACGGCCAGGCTGGGTCATTCCAACTGTCCATCCAGCCCAATGCCAGCTGCCCCAGACGGAGGGATCACAACAGGGAATCCTCACATGATCTGTCACCCACTTCCAGACAAAGCTGCACCCACCCTGGAGTAGCAGGGTGTGACACATCAGGACTGAGGTGCGTTGGCAATTTTATGGGAACAGACACTGTCTAGGAATAGAACTGTATTATGGGGTTTCGTCTTGTGAATGGGAGGCATTGCGTGATCTGGGGGCTGGGTGAAGAAAGGAAAGATCTCCCTGTATCTGCCTGTGTTCAGTCTGACTTATGACTCCCACACTTTCAAAAGTGCATAAATTCCGTGCTTAGCTATAGAATCCAATTCTGCAGTGGTGTCACTTTCTCTGTACTGCCAGACAGACTGTTTATAATAAAAGTGGAATCTTTATCATCCTTAGAGCGGGGATGCCTGCATTGTGATTAGACTTGTTGCCCACGATATCACCTTTGCTAAAGCTTTGCACTTACCTCTGTTCTGCCCTCCAGGTAATGCAAGCCCCCGCTACATAAGATGCACATCGTACAATATCCCCTGCACCTCCGACATGGCCAAACAATCCCAGGTTCCCCTAGCTGCTGTCATTAAACCACTGGCTACCCTGCCCACAGATGAGGTAAGAGCAACATCCTGGATGTGTGGTTGAGAGGTTCTGACCTCCTAGTAGCATGTGTTTTTCAATATCTCTCTCTCTAAGGGAGTTAGATAATTTACATTTTTGTGTAAGGAGATTTGAGAGGGTGAAGATTAAGGAAGCATCTATCCTCAACAGATGTGCAGTGTCAAGTAACGCTTAGACATAAGCGGGCTGTGTTATGTGCTATGAAAAGTGAAGAATTTGACCACTGCAGTAAGTAGTTAGTTCACCGCTTCATCAACAGGGAGTCCAGATAATTTCTTCTTCGCCTCCCCCACGCAAGTCATTAGCTGTGTGGCTAAGCTGTTTGTTGCAGCACTGCTTGCTCACTGTCTGCCCTTACTCCGGCTGGGCTCGCTTTGCTATAAACACTTCAGAAGACTTCAGTGACTCGAAACCATCTGAAGCTGTCAAATCAAAGGTTGTACATCAGATAGCACCAAGTTAACTGACATGCATGTGTAGGGACATGGAAGTGCATAGACTGGCAGAGAGCATGTGCCCGAGGGCTGCCCATGTCTCTGCCCCATTTAGTCTTACGCCTCCGCTGCTTTACTTTGCATCTGTAGAATATGGCTAATCCTAACTCCCCTAAAGTGCTATGAATACCCGCTGCTGTTATAAGCCTGCTTTATTTGTCTTTGTATTGCTGCTTCTAACCATGAATTCACCATGTCCCTGCAGGTTGGATGTCTACATTGAGTAGTGCAGTCTGCTCAGCCAGCAAGTGCCTTGCTGTGTTCTGTTCGGACTAGAGTCTACCTAGTGCAATATCGTATGGTGTTCTGAACCTCTTCTCTTGCAGGGCTTTTGTCATTTTAAGGGTAGTTTGTAGATTTTGGAAATCTGTTCTCTTGATCATCTGAATTGCCCTGAATCTAATTCTTGTACATAGGGTCGGGGGAGGGGCAAAAGGAACTACAAGGGGATAATTAGCTGTGGCCTCATTTCAGAAATGAGGCAGTAGTGATTGTTTGGAAGGGAAGTATTAAGTACACCCCACTACTCATTCTCCAAACCGTAACCATGCTTTGAATAAATGTGTTTTGTGATATCCAGCAAAATGTGGCCAAGTGCAAAAAGCTGCTTTAGTGACTTCACTCCGCCGGCCAGCACTAGAAACAGCTTGGCTGAGGATAAGGGCTGCTTCCCTTGAAAAGGGGCCCTGCTAACAGATGGGTGCTCAGCTGAGTATGCTGCACCTGTTGAGAGAAATGAGATGCTGTAAATGGAACTAAGGTTGTATGTACAGGGTGGAGGGGAGGAGAACAGAGTTTGTCGAAATCAAAGCATTCAGACAAATCTAGAATATTTAAAATCAAGTGCCTGCTCAACAGACATGATCGGTGTTTGACAGCAGGATTCAAGGAGCCAAGTATTTGAAGCTTTGAGAGGAAACTGGCTGTCTCTGCAGCCTTGGGAATGAGTGGCGTGCAGATATATTGTGTTCACTCAGAGCACTCCTTAGCCCTCTGCAGTGTGGGTTTTCTTTTGGTGGTGGCCTTTTCTTTCTCAGCAGGCAGGGGAAAATTGCAGGTCAGTGTGTTGTGTGGGCAAGGAAAACAGTAGGTTTAGGGATGTTAAATTTAGATTCATTAACTAATCAAATAGTCAATGGGATTTCCGTTGAATATTCAATTAGTCGATAAGGGCGCCTCTGCCTTTGAGCTGTAGCAAGAGCCCTTCCTAGGGCTCCAGTGGGGCTCTTGTACATTTCAAAAGAAAGCTGGCAGGGAGCGTGGGCCCATGCTCCCTGGCACCTGAGCCTTTGAAATGTACAAGAGCCCTGGTGGGGCTCTCGTACATTTCAAAAGTAGACTCACAGCAGAAGCAGAAGGAGCAGAGACTGCTTCAGTCCCCACTTGTGCTGCTTCCTCTGTGCCTCTACCTCCCCTGCCCCCTGTGGAGACGGTACTGGGGGCAACCAGCTCTTAAACTGGTTTCCCCCCAACACCAGCTCCTGCTCCTCTCCCTCCCCCTCTTTGCTGCCCCTCTCTGATAGAGGCAGTAAGTGGGTAGGGAAGGAGTGATTAGTCACATCACTAGTTGACTATCCAATCAGCTTCTGCTGATTGGATAATTGACTAATATCTTACATCCCTAAATAGCTTTTTTGGCTTCTGGCCAAGGCCACCAGAGGCAGCAAGGGATGGGCAGAGGGATATAGGGCACAAGCAGCACTGAAGTGCCAAAAGGGTTGATAGGAGCAAATGGGAGTGTAACCTAAAGAACTGCATTGCTGGCTGATGGAGGGAGGAGAAATGGCTGGGTAAAGCCGTAGAACTGAGCTGTTGAGGAGGAAAAGGAAGGGGCAGAGTTCAGCAGCAAATCCAAGAGGATAGTCTGTCGTTACAGTTGGGATCCACAACTGGGGGGAGAAGATGAGGTCTGACTCTTCAGCTACAGTTGCTGTCATGCCATAGTGTAGACGTGTCCTACAGGGATGGATGGGGGTTTTTCTGTCCCCAGGGAATTCACCAGCATTCTTCCATCAGCCTAGCCATGGGTGGCACAGGGATTAGGTTGGCATATCCCTCACACTCAGGCGCAAGTGTTGACATTCATTTCCCCAGGAGCGCTCAGTCTCTTTTGTGCCTCAAGGTCACTCGCTCACTCTGCTCTCCTCCCCCAATGTAGAGTAGAGACCAAGCCATGGACTTAACTGCTAGAGCACCCACCTTTTGGGACATGTTGTTTACTGGTCATTAAGTACTACAAAAGACAAGGAGAAGTTTTCCCACTTTGATCTTAACTAAAGTAAGCCCATGCTCTCATCTGCAGCAAGACACGATCCAGGGTCTGATGCAGAGATGAGTGAATAGCCCAAATACAGATGCGTTCCAGCCCCATCAAGAAGTTCTCTACTGGCTTAAAGATAAACAAGGAGCAAAAGATATGTAGGCATAGCCCCAGTGAGCATGCAACAGCAGGGAGCAGTAGGGGAGGACTTACGTGCTATCAGCATGATTGGCCCTAGATTTCAAATCTGACAGACATCATCCCTGATGTGGACTGATTTAACTTTTTACTTGAAGCTGTCTATGATTGGACTTTCACATTGGTAGTGGTATTTTAATTTTATATTAAAGCTGCGACACAGCTGACTAAAATAGTCACATGAAAAATGAGTAAGTTTGGCCCAGTAGCCCAAACAGCAAACACACACATATTTTGGACAATAACAGCAGCAACAACAGTTTGGTTTAATTTACTTGAGATAAGATTGCAGCCTGAAAATTGAGGCATCCGTGTTTTCCTGTTCTTGAACAGCTACATTCAAACTGGGTTGCTTTTTCTCAGTCTTTTGCAAAGAATTCAAGGGTTAAGTGCGCCTCAGAGTGAAGTGGCTATTTTACACTTTTGGAAGTGGAATTAATTCTAGTAGTTGTAAGCCTCTTTGTATCTGGACATGGGTTTGCCTTGAGTTTATTTTTGACGTGAGAATGGGAATATGGCATTTGAGACAGTCTAACATAGTTGATCGTACTCTTACTGGACTGGAGTAGAAAGAGGCTTGTCCTGTTACTGCCATGGTGTTGGGATAAAGTGCAGAGGGCAGGGTGTTAGAATTCAGCACAGGAGCTTAGGGGGTGGGGAAAGAAGTAATCTTTGAACAGCACTGAGCCAAAGTCCAAACACGTAGGAGTCGTCTATTTTGTGTATACAAAAAGAGTTCCCAGAACTGCATCTAAGGAAATGCTTCCGCACTTAATCTTTCTCCATTTCTTCTGGTACTCACTGCGCTCTTCTGGCAACTGCAGCCTACAGAAGAACTGTACTACGGACTTGAGACAATGCAGCAATTCAGAAATGTATCCCAAACTCTTGGATTCCACAGCTGTTACAATGCTAAGCCCTGCATAGTCTACCAGGAGGAAGTTTCAAGCTCTGTGATGCCTATATACGCTTCCTTTTCCCACTACTGTGTGCCTGACCTGTGTTTCCCTCCTCAGACCCCTCCTTATTTGGTAGACCATGGGGAACCTGGTCCTATCCGGTGCAATCGGTGCAAGGCCTACATGTGTCCTTTTATGCAGTTTATTGAGGGTGGAAGGAGATTCCAGTGTTGCTTCTGCAGCTGTGTCACTGAGGGTAAGCCGCCTTTCTAGATGATGATGTTTCAAGGAGTTGCAAATACAGTGAACCCTCGTTTATCGCGGTAGATAGGTTCCAAACCCGACCGCGATAGATGAAAATCCGCGAAGTAGGATCCTCAAAGCCTCGGGGGAAGCCGGCCGGGGGGCATCCCAGGCGCGCCTGGGCTGCTCCCCCGCCGGAGCCCCTCCGCGGCTTTCAAAGCCTCGGGGGAAGCCGGCGGGGGGGGCATCCCAGGCGCGCCTGGGCTGCTCCCCGCCGGAGCCCCTCCGTGGCTTTCAAAGCCTACTTCGCGGATTTTCACCTATCGCGGTAGGGTTTGGAACCTATCTACCGCGATAAACGAGGGTTCACTGTATATGTACAGTATGATGGGGGCTAATTTGGCTATGACAAATCAGGAAAGAGATCTTGGAGTTATAGTGGATAGTTCTCTG